TCAAATAATTGGGTTCCAGGCTCATTGACATCACCAGAGACCCAAGGGCTACCAGTTTCCTATTTCAGAGCCTCAGTGTGGTGAGTCAGAGGGAAAACGCCTGCTGCGTTCTCGGTTCCAGTCCGGAAGCTGAGGAGCTCCAAAAGATCCATAACCTTTAAATCCTATTGTTCAACCAATGTATATCTTGTAACCTGTAAATATCTAATAAAGCACAAAAAAGTCACAAGGAAGGGGGTGGTAGGAGAAAATCACACAGAAACTGTATTGGAGGGGACCTAAACATTCCCTCTAATGCGTTATGTATGGTTTCCTCCGAGGCTAAGGGTCCCCTTCTTCCAGCCAGAGGTGGTACTCCCCTCTCTATATAATATAATATAAATATATATATATTATAAATATGTATATATCTCTCTCTCTCTCTCTCTCTCTCTATATATATATATATATATATATATATATATATATATATATATATATATATATATATATATATATATATATATATATATATATATATATATATATATATATATATATATATATATATATATATATATATAAGAGCTTAACTATAACACTTTCAGCCTTTACAAGCCGTGGCAAATGACTCAGTCAGCTTATATCTAAAAGCTTTTATCACCATTAACTACTCCACTAACTTTGAGATAGTCGTCAGTGCTGAACAGTATAGACAAATTTGGTTTTAAATATCCTTGTTTTTGTGAATAATTTTGAAATGAATATAGTTGGGAATAAATGTATTTGAAACAAATTAAATAGTGAAATGAATTAATCCTATGTTGAACACACGATATTGAATAAATTCGATTTCGAATATGTCTGATATCGAATAAGCCCGATATCGATTTAGCCTGAAATCGACTTAGTTCGAAATCGATTACGCCCGATGCCAAAAGGATCGTCCAATACCGCTAAAATAAAATAATACATAGTTCTCTACGAACCATAATGAAAACTTTCACATTTAACCGAAACACTGATTAGATGAAACAATACGAATTTGAATCCAATTAGATACGATTCCAGTACAGATCGTTCACGGAGATCTTTCCTTAAGATCCAATCCATTGATAATAAATATTAAAGTATCTCATTGCGGAAATACTTGATTACTTTCATTTTGTTCTACATGTTTGTAGCTGAACTGAATTGTTAGGTTGAGCTAAAGCCGAGAGAATTTATGTTGTATTATTGATCAGCATTAAACTTTAGTCAACACCAGAGGTTACCACCACAGGTCAGCACCAAAGGTCACCACCACAGGTCAGCACCAAAGGTCCCCACTCGAGGTCACTACCAGAGTTCAACACCAGAGGCCCCCATTATAGGTCAACAGAAGAGGTCCCCCTCTGTAGGTCAACACCAGAGGTCACCACCACAGGTCAGCACCAAAGGTCACCACTAGAGGTCACTACCAGAGTTCAACACCAGAGGCCCCCATTATAGGTCAACAGAAGAGGTCCCCCCCTGTAGGTCAACACCAGACCTACTACCATCAGAGTTCACCACCGGAGGTCAACGCTACAAGTAACTACTAGAGGTTATCTTGAGATGATTTCGGGGCTTTTTTAGTGTCCCCGCGGCCCAGTCCTCGACCAGGCCTCCACCCCCAGGAAGCAGCCCGTGACAGCTGACTAACACCCAGGTACCTATTTTACTGCTAGGTAACAGGGGCATAGGGTGAAGGAAACTCTGCCCATTGTTTCCCGCCGGCGCCTGGGATCGAACCCAGGACCACAGGATCACAAGTCCAGCGTGCTGTCCGCTCGGCCGACCGGCTCCCAGGTAATCACAGGTCACTACTAGAGGCCATCATCACAGGTTAAAGGACAGGTCGAAGCAATAAATATATGCAAAAGTCATCATCTATTCCAATAATGTGGAGCGAAAATTGTTTGCAAACATCCGTTACCAGCAATTTCTCTCAATTTGTCTTAATTATAGCTTGATTTACCTCTCTAATACTAATTTATTGGCTTCAACGAGGCAACTGGTGCACCATATTGATATCAATTGCATCAAGGCTCGGCTCGGTGTCTCCTGACAACAGTATGAGAGAATTTGAGTGTGTTTTTGAGCGAGTGTGTGTGCCTGTCTGAGTGCTTGAGTGTGTTTTTGAGCGAGTGTGTCTGTCTGTCTGTTGGAGTGCTTGAGTGTGTTTTTGAGCGAGTGTGTCTGTCTCTCTGTCAGAGTGCTTGAGTGTGTTTTTGAGTGTGTCTGCCTGTCTGTCAGAGTGCTTGAGTGTGTTTTTGAGTGTGTCTGCCTGTCTGTCAGAGTGCTTGAGTGTGTGTTTATACCACCTATGTATTCATGTAAACACCAGACAGAACATTCAACATCGTGTTATTATGTATTTTAAAAGGTTGATCTTAACTTTTGGATTTCCTTTTACCCCTGAGAGCCGTCAACGGGATCTCACAGAAATTGACTCCGTCTCAGGTACCAGTTGCTGTTGACAGGGACCATTTCTTTATATCCATGTCAGTGATTGATGGAGAGGCGCCGTTAATCTACTCTCCCCTCCCACATTCGGCCTTCTCCTCTCATCTCATCCCCTCTCTTTCCCCCACCTCCTCACCCTATTATCCCCCGTTCCCTCTCTCTTCCCCTCACAACATCGCTCTTCACCAAGTCTCTCTGTCTCCCTCATACAACGTAAACACAGACTCTCAGGACGCCCAGATTCCCTTGCTAGCTAAACCATTTGTATTTAATTATGTTAGTTGGCCCACTATTGCGTTATTAAATTATCCTTTCGCTCGCACAGTCCTTGTAGCTGCACGAAGAACACGTGTATATCGGCCTGGCTGGGATCTATAGCCTTTTATTTAATATGTTTGATATAATTATTTTTCTCTCAATGAAAGATTTTGTTCGGGATTTGGTTCTTCAATAAAAAATAAACATTCCACCAAAGGACATGAATGGTCTCGTCAGAATATTTTTTTAATCTCTCCGTTGATGTTACAGTCCATCACAAATATTACCAGAGATGGTATTCCTAATATATTATATATATTATATATATAATAATATATAATATATATATATATATATATATATATATATATATATATATATATATATATATATATATATATATATATATATATATATATATATATATTATATACGAAACGCGTTCAGGCGTCAGACAATTAAAAAAGGAGTTTTGGAGAATTGATATTTTTATTACCACCGACAGTGAAGAAAAACATAAGAAATATTGAGAAAATTCGTGTTAGAATTATAATGTACAGCTAGTATAGTTAGAATATACCAGCTGTACCCGGCCATGTGCGTTGCTGAGCCACAGCTACTTTCCCCTGTCTCCCAGTCCTCCCCACCATTCCCCCCTCCCCAGTCCCTTTGTCCTCCCCACCATCCCCCACTCAAGGCTTTCCATCGTCCTCTCTACCATCCCCGATTCCAGTGTCCCTTCGTCCTCCTAACCATTCCTCACTCCACCGTCCCCTCGTCCTCCCCACTATATCCCACTCCCCTATCCCCTCGTCCTTCCTACCATCCCCCACTCCCGTCCCCTCGTCCTCCCCACCATCCCCTACTCCCGTCCCCTCGTCCTCCCTACCATTCCCCACTCCCTCTTTCGATGCATTCCCAAATGATCTGATGTTCCATCAGAAAATTGGGAACATCAAATGATCTGATGTTCCCATCACTGAAATATTAGAAAAACAGTTAAAAAAAATAAAAAAAATAAAAAAAATAAACTATACACACAAAATGAACGACATAGTAAAAAACACAGCTCAATTCCAACGCAATGTCACACAAAATACTTAAATCAAAATGTAAATAACTGGATATCTATGAAAATTCCTTTTATCAATGAAATTGGAAACATTGACATGGAATCGTAACATATCTAGCATAGCGTGTGTTGTTATTTTGTGCAACAGATGGCGCTGTTTTTTTTTTTAAAAGCATGTTTTTACCTGTCACAGGTGTGGCATATATATAATAGTTATATAAAAACACGTGCTTTTCGAATGAAACATTTGTGTCAAAATTTCACCGCAATCGGTGAAGAACTTTCGAAGATTACAGCGTGTGTTGCTGTTACGTCCAACAGTTGGCACTGATTTAAAAAAAAAATTCCTGTCACAGGTGAGGCATCTATATAGTAGGTATATAAAAACACGCCTATTCAAATGCAACGTTGTGTGAAAATTTCAAAGCAATCGGTGAAGAACTTTCGGAGATTAGCGATTTTGAACAATTAAACATTTACATTTTTATTTATATAGATATAGCCAGAATTCCCGTCCATCGATCGTGCATGTCTTCGAACCTTTCACCACCTCCTCCTCCTCCTGCTCTCCCACCGGTCGTCCAGCGGGCACGACGCCTCAGGGAAGATTTTCCATTCTCGCTTTGAGGCTGTGAGAGCTGCGAGTTCCTTCCCCAAAGGGCTTGGTCCGAGTGTCTATGGCTTGTTGCAGAGGTTATACAGATCTGGCGGGTAAGGCTGGCCGACGACCCCCGATAGTGTAAGTAAGGCCGAGCGGACAGCACTCTGGACTTGTGATCCTGTGGTCCCAGGTTCGATCCCGGGAGCCGGCGAGAAACAATGGGCAGAGTTTCTTTCACCCTATGCCCCTGTTACCTAGTAGTAAAATAAATAAATAAAATATAAATAAATAAAATAAAATAAATAAATAAAAATATATAGTAAAATAAATAAATAGCAGTAAAATAAATAAATAAAATATAAATAAATAAAATAAAAAAAATAAAAAAAATAAATAAATGAAATAAATAAAATAATATAAAAAATAAATTACCTAGCTGTGTGTGTGTGTGTGTGTGTGTGTGTGTGTGTGTGTGTGTGTGTGTGTGTGTGTGTGTGTGTGTGTGTGTGTGTGTGGCTAGGGGCAATGGCGAGTAAGGAGGAATCCAAGGCTTCAGTGTGTTCTTTGAGTTCTGAACCAGTTTTCTAAGTTCAAAGATTAGTTATGAGCAGCAAACTAAAGCTCCCCATAGTGTGGTACAACAAATATATTTACATAAGAGTAACTGGCGAGAACATAAGAGTAACTGGCGAGAACATAAGAGTAACTAACGAGAACATAAGAGTAACTGGCGAGAACATAAGAGTAACTGGCGAGAACATAAGAGTAACTAACGAGAACATAAGAGTAACTGGCGAGAACATAAGAGTAACTGGCGAGAACATAAGAGTAACTGGCGAGAACATAAGTGTAACTGACGAGAACATAAGAGTAACTGGCGAGAACATAAGTGTAACTGACGAGAACATAAGAGTAACTGGCGAGAACATAAGAGTAACTGACGAGAACATAAGAGTAACTGGCGAGAACATAAGAGTAACTGACGAGAACATAAGAGTAACTGGCGAGAACATAAGAGTAACTGGCGAGAACATAAGTGTAACTGGCGAGAACATAAGAGTAACTAACGAGAACATAAGAGTAACTAACGAGAACATAAGAGTAACTGACGAGAACATAAGAGTAACTGGCGAGAACATAACAGTAACTGACGAGAACATAAGAGTAACTGACGAGAACATAAGAGTAACTAACGAGAACATAAGAGTAACTGACGAGAACATAAGAGTAACTGGCGAGAACATAAGAGTAACTGGCGAGAACATAAGAGTAACTGGCGAGAACATAAGAGTAACTGGCGAGAACATAAGAGTAACTGGCGAGAACATAAGAGTAACTGGCGAGAACATAAGAGTAACTAACGAGAACATAAGAGTAACTAACGAGAACATAAGAGTAACTGACGAGAACATAAGAGTAACTAACGAGAACATAAGAGTAACTGACGAGAACATAAGAGTAACTGGCGAGAACATAAGAGTAACTAACGAGAACATAAGAGTAACTGACGAGAACATAAGAGTAACTAACGAGAACATAAGAGTAACTGACGAGAACATAAGAGTAACTGGCGAGAACATAAGAGTAACTAACGAGAACATAAGAGTAACTAACGAGAACATAAGAGTAACTGACGAGAACATAAGAGTAACTGGCGAGAACATAAGAGTAACTAACGAGAACATAAGAGTAACTAACGAGAACAAAAAGAACAGAACATTTCTGTTCAAGTTGAGGGGTTTCCCGGCTTAAGAATTAATCTGACTGCTGCATTTGTAATTAATTAGGAAATAGTCCAGCTGCAAGAGCTAAAATATACCTGTATACAAATAGACTGCAATCATTTGGAGGTAGTTAACACCATTTTGTTAATTTGGCTAATGGCCGGCGTCTTGTTATTGAAACCTCTAATGGCTTTATGGACCTCTGAGATGGTTGTGTGTTTTATAAGGTGGCACTCTTGACGAAGGTGTTTGTCTATTCTTTGTGTTGGAGGTAATGTTGTAGCTCCGTTATCTTCAAGAACAGGAGGAGGACGAGGGGGCAACCCGTTCTCGCACTGGCTTATAGTGAATATTGGCTTATTAATAAGTGCCTATGTGGCATACTAATTTAATGTAAATATTTTAGTTTACTTTGAAAAGCTGAATAGGAAACACCGACCTAACCTAACCTTCTTAGTATGTTAAGATAAGCATCTTATTGCTTCTTAATTACAATTAGTACTTAACCTATACCTATATTGATGTTACAGTTATAAAAATAATGAAACAAAACCAAAATATTTAAATAAATTGTAAAGTAACTCAGGATATTGTCAAATATTGTATAAAATCTTTCGTGCTTAATAAAACTGAAAAAGAAATTCCTAATATTATAAAACTGGTGTTTAGCAAATCTGTAGGAAGAGTTTGTACCTGATAAACAAAATATTACTTGGCATATACCACATATGTACTTATAAATCGGCCAAATAGTGACTATAAGCAATAAGTCATATATGTACTGTCTTGTGCCAGAACGGGTTGCAACGGGAAGGGGGGGGGAGGGAGGTGGGAGGATGCAATGAAGATGGGAAGTGGGGGAGGAGGATAAGAAGTGGTAGTGGAGTAGGAAAGTAAGTGGGGGAAGGAAAGGGAGAGGTGGATGGGAGAGTGTTATGGGGTAGGTAAGGAGGGAGGGAGACGGTAAGGAAAAACATAGACAAAATATGAAGGGAAGGGAACTTTCAGGGGAACGTGCCAAGCTATTAGACTATATAGCACTTGGAAGGGTTTTTTGGGATGGGAGGGGGGTAGGAATACTGACCCACCACTTGGACGGTCGGGGTATTGAACACCGACCTGCATGACGCGAGATCGTTGCTCTACCGTCCAGCCCAATATGAAACATTGGAATGTATCGCTAAATATCTACATTTTCCGTCTAATTTACATACTGAGAGGACAGGTTTAAAGCGTGTCTTTAGTGCTGAAGAAGAACAGAAAGATGACTACGACCTTCGAGGAGTGGTTTGATTTGATTGTTGCCGTCGGAGGCGGCTAGTTTATTGTGCACCCCATACTTATCCTGTGAGCGGTAGCGCAAAAAGCATTACAGAGGGCACAAAAGGTCTTTATCAGACCTCAACTTAGATTATTACATAAACAATTTCATCTATCCTTCACACCTTATAGTTACAATGTCAGCTAGTCGCAGAGAAAGTGCTATTTCAAGAGATATATATTTACAGTAAGTCATTATACATACATGGTAGGTCTTATCGCTAATACATAATTGTTTGGGCAATGGAGATATTACAGAGTCATAGGGTAGCTGCTGTTTATTATTAGTCTTCACAATACACTACTTGTTTCTTAATCTCATATGTCGTTTATCTACTGGAAGCGAAATATGGATACAGTGCAAGGATTTCAGGTAATTTACCCTTGGTAATAAGATAGGTTGCCATATCATACAGTGTGAGCTTAGATTTATCTCTAAATGGCTCAATTTTACTACAATCCAAAATATAGTGTTCGTGTGTGTGTCCCAGTCTTTGTCTACACAATTTACACTTTACTGCATCTAGATACCTATACAAGCCGAACTGCCAGAGATCCTTGTAGCCAAGTCTTATTCGAGCTGTGACAACGTCTGTCAGTCTGCTGACTTTGTTACTTGCCCTATACACATGTTTTACTTCACACATTTCATTGTGATAAACAATGGACATGCTAGTTCCAGTTTGCACTGTTCTACTTTCTTCAAATACATCCAAGAGTTCTCGTCAAATGACACTTTTAAGGGACCTATTTGATAACTCAAGATTCCGTTCAATGCTGTCTTTATTTACTGCAGTCTTAGCAAGGGCGTCAACTTTATCCTGTTCTGTATGCCAATGTGAGAAGGTATCCACAATAATTTTATATATACCCTCTTGCTAAGTATGCTTATATATCTATTTCTGGCTTCTGAGACAAGCACGTTATTACTTGATTGCAAACCCTTTATTGCTAGTAGTGAGGAAAGGGAGTCGGAAATAGTTAAGCTGTCTACTTCAGTGTTGTTAATAATTTCGAGTGCTAACAGTATTGCTACCAACTCAGCCTGTATTGTGGATGCCCAGATACTAATTTTTATATTCCTTTGAATTGTGCTGCCATCGGGCTGATGAGCAATAACAGTAATTCCTGCCCTCCCTGTAGCTATATTGAGTGATCCATCAGTGTATATGGTCTGTGTTATGTTGTTTTCAGCTTGTATATTGTGAATGTGTTCTATGGTGCTTAATTTAGCAGCAAGCTGAGCATGAGGGTTGTTTGTGATTAGTTTCTTGGTGGGGTATGCAGGAGTCAGGATGTCAAAAGGTACTATCTGCCAGGGTGGAAGGAAGTGCTGTACTCTTTCATCTGTATATACATCGTGCAGTCCTCTCATTTTAGTATGGCTGTTCTCTGAATCCATTTAGACTCACTAGTTCCATTACGTATGTGTTCTAATAGTTCAACTGACACAATGTTGCTTTTGTTATCACGCAGAAGCTTTAGTCCCATCATAAGATTGATTGTGTTGGTGGACCTTGAACCGGGCCAAGTAGTAGTACCTACCTTTCAGTGACTAGGCCCTTTACCACCTTCACCTTCAAGAAGGTCTCAGATTCCAGGGCATAGCAATTACTGCTGAATTCAAGTGCCAATTAGCATTTTAATTCCTTCTTGAGCTTTTCCCCTCATCCACTTTCTTGCACATTTTACCTCTTATCCACTTATCTTCCCCTTCTCACTTGGCCTCCCTAACACCTTCCTCCCTTCAAGCCTCAGTGACCTCTCTATCATCTTTACATGTTAAGAGCACACAATTCTAAGGAAACATTCCGAGAACATCAAACCGGAACAAGTTGGTCCTGCTCGAAGTAATATGTGAGAAGCAGTTCATTCTTGGAAGGCTAAACAAAACGATACATATATATTCTTTAATTAAAAATAAATTGCATATATTATACTCAATGAACCTTCAAAACAATTGATTTTTGACGAGAGTCTATTTACATATATACACTAAGTATTATTCTACTATATTGTACATTTTCTTAATACAATACAATAACTAATGTGCATTATAATTATGGAAAAGAATTCCTCGTACATATTTTTTTTTTTGGGGGGGGGGAGGTTACTGTTGGGCTTGAGGCCTATGCTCCTCAGAGAGCATATTAGGGCCGCCATAATGCCTTACTGATCAAGACCTTACTGATCAAGACATTACTGATCAAGACCTTACTGATCAAGACATTACTGATCAAGACCTTACTGATCAAGACATTACTGATCAAGACCTTACTGATCAAGAAGCATGTATACTTAGCCTCTGAGTACAGTCCAGGAACAAGTTAAAATGTGTGTGTAAACCATTATTTGTATTGCCATTTGCACGTCTCTTATCAAGTTTACAGTTTGAACGTAGAATTGCACACGTTTAGCAATGGATTTGAGTTGGTCTCTTCCATCCTTTATGAACCTATATACTGTATGTCAACATCGGTTCGACAGTAGGATCATAGACGAACATAACACTCTGCCAATTAGAAGAGATTCTTGTGCTCTACCCCTGAGTTTGCTAATGCAGGCTTGTAGTAGATTAGACTCGCATCGAATGCTCTCTTACAAGAATCTGAGGTGTAATTAGTACCTGATTCACAAGCCCGTTTCACCAGCCTGTCCCTCTTAAGGTTCCCCAACGTCAAGAAGCTATCGTATTAAAATGAACTTATCTTAACCTACCTGAGGACCCAAAACAGAAAACGGAACAGTATGTCAATTTCGCGAGCCGCTACCATTTTCTAGTACGACAATTTTTATCCTTAGGCAGAGTATACGTCAAAATTCGACGTTCTCTTAGGAGGACGGGGTGGAACTATGTTATTATTTAGTTTTTCTGTTAAAAGAGCAGCCTAATGACATTCCTAAAAAAAAAAAGAGTACTCCCAGTAAGTCCCCGTATAACGTAGCTCCAGGTATACTTCCGGTATACCTTGAGTATACCTAGAGTGGGTTCTGTGACTTCATCTACTTTCCAAGCCAGCCCTATCACCAGACTTAATTTGTGATAACTTGGTCCAACAGACTGTTGTTTGGAGCGAAATACAGCAGGAACACATATCCACTATAACCCAGTTTGTCCGGTCTGTAGTTTGTGAGCGTATGTTCCGCTGCAAGCAACAGTCTGTTGGACCAAACTATCACAAGTTTGATACTCCCCAAGTCTGGCCACAGGCCGGGCTTGGGGAGTAAGCGAACTCCCAGAACCCATTCCAGGTATAGTCCAGGTACTCTCCGGGTATACAAGGAAGATGCTGACCACGTTTCCACAGTTGGTACACCTAATCGTTTTAATACCAGGTCTTACACACGTATATATAAGTTCTCACCTCACAATCTGGAATTACGGGTTCGAATCCCGGGCGTGGCAGAACTGTCTGCCAGTGTAACGGGGGGTCGGAGGAAATAGCTCTCTTTTGTCCATTATCCCGCCCCCAGTTAGCTATTCTAGAATTTCCCCAAAGTTCCTGCTACAGCATCTCTAGTTCAACACCTTGTAACCCAGATATTTGATTACCTCGGTATCACGACTACAAGGCGCAGTAACTTGGTCAGCTACCCGCAAATTCTAGAGAACTCTAGAACATTTCACCGCCACGAATGCATAAAAAAACGAAGGGAAACAAATGAATAATGAAGTAATGATTGAGGTTTTGGAGTAAGGGAGGAGGG